CTGTGTAATATTATTGTGAAAAATTAAAATGCAATAATTTGGTCATTTTCTTTTCCATTTTAGTCAATTATAGATCATTTTTTTAGTCAATTATTAATATTAATTTCCTTTTCTAATTAACCTAATTTCCATTCATTTTTCAATTTTTAATTTTCAGTCAATTATTAATATTCATTTCATTTTCCAATTTACGTAATTCTCGTTCCTTTTTTAATTGATGATGTAAAATATTATTGTGACATATTTCTATTTCTTTTTTATTTTACGTTCTTTTTTTAAGGGGATTTTGCACAAGAATTAAGAAAAAAATGGGTATGTGGAGGAGAGAGGAGAAAGGAGAGAGGGAGGGGGTTGGGTTGCTCCTGCAAGTTTGTGGGTTTTGTCAAGAATTTTGGGGGTTTTGGGGGATTTTGGGTGGGTTTTGTCAGTTTTTTATTTTTCCTTTTTTTTTTTTTCCCTTTTCACTCATTTCTCTTTCCTAATCACACCTCCAAAAAACTCCTCAAAAGCTACACCAAGATCCTCACTATTGAGGATGTCCTAAAGGTGCGTTTGGAAACCCAAAAAACGATTCCAGAAATCATTTTCTGGGTGTTCAGTCTTTGGCTTGAGAGGAGAATTTTCTAGAAAATGACTTTTTTTTTTTTTTTTTTTGAGGAAGTCATTTTCCGTTTGCAGCAGTGGAGCAGCCAATCACCCACCGCCGCCCACCACCACTGAATATAGCCAAAACATATATTGCATGGAATTTAAAATAAAAGTTGTTATATTATAAATAAAAAAAATAAAAATATTTTTTTTTGGATATATAACAATTAAAATGTTCAAGTATACAATTTTACTCATTTTCCTATTCATTTTTTGAAAACTGAACCAAATACACAAAGACATTTTTTGAAATGACTCAAATACAATTTTCCAAATACACAAAGGCATTTTTTGAAAAATGAATCAAATACACAGACAATTTTCTGATGTGCAGCCAAACATCTCATTTTTCAGAAATCATTTTCCTACTTTCCAAACGAATCTTAATATATGTACAATTAATTTGTTAATTGACATAATAATTATTGGAAAATGATCTTGTTTGATTATTTACAAATTCTCCAAAATTTTTAAAAATTTGTCATTTTAACATTTTGTCTTTAATCAAAACACCAAAAATATTATTTCATAACTCAGCAATTTGCTCCGAACTGCTAAAAACTAAAACAACACATATACATTTTGGATTAACCTTTTCCAAATCCCCTAATAAATTAAAAAATTAGGTTTCTTAAATAAGAGCCTTTTGACACGTTGAGCTTTATTAGGTTGAGAAAGTTCATATGCTAAAGTCTAGTTGCATAATCAACATATATGTCAAGACTATGAATCCTTAAGATATCTAGACTGAAAAAAAAAAAAAAACAAAACAAAAAAAAAAAACAAAAAAACAATCGATATTCAAGTTATAGATATATTAGGTTTTTCCTATAACCCCATCACTAGTCTCACACTTCATATGATGCGAGAATTGTTAGCACAAGGAAATAGACAATGAAAAGTATCTTAGGGATCTCTTCTAGCTGGATTCGTTAGAGTTCCTCTGCTAAAGTCCAGTTACTTATTCAACTTATTTCTCGAAATCAAGAAAAAATTACAAGCTTAATTACTACCCGGATCATAAGTATATAGTAAGATTGCCATATCAACAATACCTATAAATACATTGATCAAAGCAATTTGATTTTCCAAGTTGGATCTCTCGACGATCTTTGTTGTACTTGTAAACATGCCTTATACAATTCCTACCTTCTACTCTGATCATTAATACTGTAACATCATTCTCTCTATCATAATGTGGACACTAACCGATCTAATTTATTATAATTACGTTTTTACCCGTACACCTAAAATGAATAAAAGTAAAAGAAGGAATGGGGATTTCTTGTGAGAGGGAGAGACAGCTGACGCCACGTGGGATGCCGAAAACCATCCAAAACAAGAAAAGGCACATTAAAACGTGATTAGCCAAACAAAATCAACGCTCGTATAGTAATAATAAACGTAAAAGCTAAAAAAGAGATGAGAATCGTAGTCCGCAGATTCAGTCGGAAGATTCTAAAAGCAACCTCGTTACCTGGTTTTGGAGATACGTTCAAAAAACATGTACATAACATGACGAAAATATGACCACACTTTCTGAATTCTTCTTCCCCCCACCATCTTCTCTCTCCTCCCTATATCTCTCTGCATTTGAAAGCGCCATTTATCCACGATTCTTTAACAATTATATTCGGAGCCTTTTGTTTTTGTTTTTTGCATCAAAGCTCTATGTTTAGCTCCCTAAATTGGTTCAATCTTTGATTCTTTTTGCGAGAGAAACCATGAGGAGACGAGTAGAAGGAAGGGAAGACGGGGAAGAGGCGGAGATTGATCGCCTCCCCATTGACCTGTTGGCTCATATATTAACTCTTCTCACCTGTTTCAAAGATTTGGCTCAGTAATCTTTCTTGCTTCTCCCTTTTCCTCTTTTTTTTTTTTTTTTTTGATTGCTTTGTTGGTTTCTTTTGTTTTGTGTTGATGTTGACCGAATTTGACTGTTTTTGGCATTTACAGGGCGAGCAGTGTGAGCCAGAAATGGAGGCAGGGAGCTAAAGAATCGTTGGCGAGGAAAGAAAGACTGAGCTTTTCCGGGTGGAAAGTGGATGATGATTCCGCCACTCGCCTTGTTCTCCATGCTTACAGTCTTAAAGAGCTTGATATGTAAAAATCCCATCTTTCTCTCTCCTGATATGCATTTTCCAGCAATCAATACTTCTTGTACCATGATGCTTTCTTTTATCATATTGTGACAAATTATTAGTCTCAATTAAAGTTGAAATGTGGGATTTGCATTCTTGGCTGGGGTTGCCCTTTAAAAATATGAACCTTGATTAGCAGATATGTTGTTCTAAACTGTATTAGTTCTTTGCACATTTGCTGGGATTGGCTAATGGTGGTTGGAGATTGTGGAGTGATCAGAAATGTTGTTGTTTTCTAGTGTTCTGATTTGTTTATTTTCTTTCAGTTCAAGGAGCTGTTGGGGTTGCCAGATAACAGATCATGGGCTGTATCAATTGTCTATGGCGAAATGTATTAGCAATCTTTCGTCGGTGTCTCTGTGGGGATCGACAGGGATCACAGACGCAGGTGTTGTTCAACTGGTAAGTTCTTGTCTTGGATGAATTCCCCATGAAGAAAACTATGATGTCTTGGATGAATGGCAGACCTCTATTGTTCCAAGGATGCATAAATTCCTAATACTAATAAGATCGCTCTGATTTTAGCTGTTCGACTAGGCGAATATGTCTTGAAAAATGAAAACTTCTTATAAAACGAAGAGGATTAGGCTGCATCTTTGGTTCTGCTTTGTTGTTATCTACCCATTTTAGCTAGCTGCATTCTTAAGCTTCAAAGTATATTGTGCCTGGTTTTACTCGTCTGTGTTTCCTTCAACAGATCTCGGGAGCTCGCTCTCTACAACATCTGAATATTGGCGCTACATTTATAACAGACACATCCTTGTTCGCCATTGCAGACAGCTGCCCGCACTTAAAGGTGAAATCCCAGTATCATTTCTTAAAGTTAACTTGGAAATATTTGGTAATGGTCATGGTTTAAATGCCCTATTCCAGCAATTCTCTTCACTACCTTATGATCAAACTCTCAAGGTTGTTGGTTCACAAAATCTTTCCCTTTCGTAGCAACTGATCCCGTTCTTTTCACATGTTTAAATTTGCAGAATATTGGTCTATGGGGTTGTCGCCATGTAACTGAGAGCGGACTCATAGCTCTTGTAAATAAATGTCGCAAGCTTGAATCGATTAATGTTCGGGGGATGAGGGTACCTGTGGATTGCTTCATTGGTTTGCTTACCATAAGCCCAGCTCTTCAGATAGAACCCAAAGGGTTGCTGCCAAGCATTGACAGGGTCTCAATGTGGCCTGTCTTTTAAGCTGCCTATCAGCAGTGATCACAGCTTTTACCCATTCTGTGTAAATAAGATTGATTGATGCTTCAAGTATGATATTTTCAATTAATTTGTACAGATTGTTTCTCCATTTCTTTGTTCTATTGGTATCCCCCAATTCCAATACAATGTGTAAGCAAACAGATGCAACCCTGTGTGATGTAAATATTTGCAGATTCAGACCTTGGGTTTCTGTTATATTTCTGAAATGAAATCTCTATTGGCAATCCATTACAGGAAGCATGGCCTAACATCATCTCTGAAACTGAAGTTTTCTTGTGCTGGAGTTATACACTATATATATTTATGATACAGAAAGCACATCCACATCCAATCACAAAGAAGACTTCATGAAGCCCACACGGGCTTTTTTCTCAATGGTTCAGTAGGCAATATTTGGGAGAAGAGACTAAAGTTCGAACCTCGGCGGCGGCAGTGTGGGATTATGCTCAAAGTATGCAGATCCCTTGTGCGCACCGACATTTGGCCCTGTTTGCTAAGCCATTGAGTCGCCATTGAGTCACCGTGATTTACATCCTCCCAAATGCTCTGTCGGGCCGGATGTGGGAGTCCTTGGGGTTGGGGATTCAACCTTTTGAGAGAAGAAGACTTCATGAAGGGGACATTTCCAATCAAGTCGGTCAAACTGTTGACTTAGTAACCAAGGTTCCAAGTTCTCCTCCTAGTGAGGAGCGACCCAATGGCCTTCTTATTTTGAGCTGATCAGCTATGACTCTATGAGTAATCTAAGTTGATTTACCTCTTTGTGATCTTTTGCTGGTTAGGGTCACAAGGTGGGGTTTACTTAGTGCACAATTGCACACCCTCAGATTCCAAGTTCGACTTAATAGCCTTCTTGGTTTAAGCCGATCAGTTATGGACAACCTAGGCTGGTTTACTTCCTTGTGGTCCTTTGTTGGTTAGAGCTACAAGACAATGTTTACTTAGTGCACACCCTCAGGTAGCGGTTGAGGGTTCCTTGGTCACCAAAAAGAGACTTCTGAAGAAATGAAAAATCATGGGGGTTTTATAAACACAAATCTGGATAATGTTGAGTACAGTTTACTTGTTGCAGGCTGTAGCCATCTCTGCTAAACTATAACACTGATTACCTAGACTTTTGCCTTAACATTCTAAGGTGAATGTTTTCTAGTTTTAACAGGCCAAAATGAGTACCTTTCTGACTCAAAACTTTACACAGTGAAGGCCTAACCAGCACTCAACAATGCAGCAACACATTCTACCATAGAACTCGATCACTTCCCGCTAATCATACGAGAAACAACAACACCACAGGCCAGAAGAGAAAGAACGCGTAAAATATACTTTCGACTTTGATGGCTGAAGCAGACCCTGTCAATTGCACAGACCCAGAAAAGCTTCCTGCAGGGTCAGTTGTCCCTGGAGTTGTATTAGATGCAGCAACATTCTTGCAAACTCCAAAATGTTCTCCTGCCTGCCAAATGACAATTAACAAGTAATCTTAATATTCTTTCACACAATTACTCAGTACTTTGTACAAACATCTAACAAACACTCCTCCTCTAACAAAGGTTGTTCCAAACGATGCAGCAAGTAATAAAGGTAGTATTCGCTACTAGTAATCTAGTGGGCACAAAAAGTTTCCAAATAGTAACTATATATGCTTTCGTTTCTGAAAATTTGTTCAGGAACCACGAACCTGGCAAGCAGTTATTGTAGTGCAGCCGCACAAAGACTGACCATTCATTCGATCCAAATCATCAAAAACACCCCCTCCATCGCTCCTCTGTAGTGGTCAATTAGAATAGATTGTGTGAGAGGTAAAAACGTTGTTTTCATTCTTCAGTATGTTATATACTCTTGTCAATGATAATGATAGCCATTAAACAGAACGGTGTGAATTTCTTTACCATGTAAAAGTTTACTGCCACAAAATTTGGCATCAAATTCCCGGCTGCTTTATAACAAGTGCCAACCATATCAGCTAGTGGAGTAGAATGTTCTTTGCAAACTTCATTTTGAGCAGGAATTGTAGGGAAGTAATTCATTAGAAAGAGCGAGGCACTTCTCGAATTAAGAGGCTTTGATTCCTTTCTATTGGAGCACGAGCCAGGCACCACCCCAGGATCTCCAGCTGAGGAGCATCGCTGTATGATTAAGCACAATATATACACATAGAATCACGAAAATGAGACATTCGTGTTAGCACTTACGCTCATTTTCCACCATGTATCTCCACTGGTAAGCGATTCCTTCAGCCGCCTCCTTTGAAGAATCAGAAGTGAAAACCAGCAAGCGATAATTTTTCTCAACCATATCATTTACAGTCGGCCAATCTTCGCCCTTTTTTGGCATCTTAGACACTGGAAACCAATACTTGTCCAATCCAGCACCACTGAACACTCTCGTCAAACCTTTAGGGCTATGTACATAATCCTCAATTATAATCGTGACTATCTCAGAAGGGTTGGCAGACAAAAAAGCTTCTATTTCTTTAAGCGTGTTAATCGCTGGCTCCTGAGAAAACCCATCAGTTAAAATTACAGAAATTGATCAAGAACAACCCAATGCTAAATCATAACATAAGAAAGAGATGGAGAGCATATTACAAAAGCTGTGAAGTTGTAACATTGGCCGCGGAGCGAGTGGCAGAGCCAGATATCATTCTCGAAATCATACATATCCAGCATGAATCCCCTCACTCCATTCTGGAATCACCCATCAAATCAGTAACACCCAAATCAACTCCAAACATCATACTTATATGATCTTGTGGGACTATGCAAAAACAGCAGGATAAGTTTAAGCAAAATCACAACATCACATACCCTTAACTGGTTAGTAACAGTGTCTTCTTGATTACAGAAAGTAAGTCTCTGAGCTCCTGTCAGTAATGGAGCATCAACTATAGAAAAGGCATTATGGGTCACCAGCCATGAGTACTTGTTGAAGGGTAACCCACTGATCTGCCCCAATCACCATTGCCATGCAACAAACAGTATTGCAGCAAATGAGCAAATCCCATTACTGTCATTTCCAGAAAAAAAACCCAAAAAAAAAAAAACAAAATTCAAAGAAAACACTGCAACAGTGAAGGAAAAGAACTCACAATGGAAGTGGGTACAGTGGCTTGTCCTCTTATGCAAAAAGGTTGATTCTTTCCCATTACCGGGCAATTCCCGCAGTAAAGCCCAGCCCCACAGTCCGTGGCCGAAGCACACGAATCAAGAAGCTGCAAAAAAATTAAAAAAATAAAAAAAAAATCAAGAAAGTTTCAGCTAAAATCCTCACAGCAAAATCTGGGGAAAAAAAAATGTACGGTTACCTGGCAATTGCCGTTAAAGCAGGCGGCAGATGGGGCGATGAAGAAGACATCTGAGAGGATAAATGATAGGAGAAGAAGGTACCCTTTTGAAGAGGGACCTTGAGCTCCTCCGCAGTTGATTCTCCGGCGATTCTTCATGCTGAGAATGCGCTCCGCCGCGAAACCCCGACACAGATTAAATCACAAAATGAGAAAAGATTCTACGACATAGTCATAGTATTTATAGGAGCAGCCTTAAATCCCTTAATTATTAAGTTTATAAGTAAAAGAAGTGTCGCATGATGAAGCAGATAGGGAAAGCAAAAGATGAGTGTAACTGAGAAAGAGAGAGAGAGAGAGATAGAGGGAGCAGAAGATGCCAATTTTCGTGTTCCTTTACCTCTCCCAGCAACTACTTTACTTTTTTACGCCATTATTTTATTCATCATTCATGTTTTCGTCTAAAAATGAAATCTTGAAATTGTTTTTTTTTTTTTTTTTTTGGTGAAAGGAAAAATCTTGAAATTGTTAAAGCCAACAATTATGGACAAAAACAAAGCAGGTTGGGCTGTTATAACTTATAACAGTTGGCTATATGTTTCAACAACATCATTATATTTATCGATTTTGAAACAATTGATTTTTAGGAGAGTGACAGTCCACTGCTGTCCAAATGGACGTTCAGATGTCATTATAATTTCTAGATCAGTCTATTGCAGAAATTTCAATCAAAACGATAAGGGGTTCAAATAACTCATTGCTTTAATCACATTAAATTCACCGCTCTATCAAACATAGCCTCACCAAATAAATAAATAAATAATGATGTAATCACGAGCAAATATGGTAGTGAGGGGCCATCCATAATATGCAGCTTTGTTTAGAGTAAAAAATCATGTATCATCACTCCTGTATTATTGTATATTGATAATGACATAAATTGAGATTTAGGCATTGTTTGGTAAAATAGTTAGTTTATCAGTTAATTTTAACTTATTTAATCATTATTAGTTGTTTTACTTGGTTAAACAATCAATATGAGCATTTGATTAATTAGTTTTTTGTAACAACTTATTGTTTCAAAATGATAAAATTCAAAAAGCTGTTCAAAGTAATTTTTTCGATCAGTTTTTTGATAAAATCATTTTGTATGTAATCAGCTAACAGCTAACAACTAATTTACCAAATATTTTTTTACAATCAGCTAATGTTATCAATTAATCTGTTAAGGAAAGAAATCACAAAAATCACATTATGGGAAAGAAATCACAGAAATCACAAGAAATCACATATTTCTTCTAGCAAATATTTTCTCTTGTAATCTTGATTTCATTATTATTATTCTTATTGATTCTATTTCCTTTCTCTGTACCTTATAGTTTGTATATATAGGGGTGTACATCTTCTGTAATGAACAACAGAGAAAAATAGACAGTTCATACTTTTTTTTACATGGTATCATTCCCAGGTTCTTGACCGACGCTCTCTCCTTGCATTGTTCCTGCCGTGTGCCGCTGCCGCCATGACAGACACGGAGGTCGTCGACGCTGACAAGAGGGACGCTAGCAACAACGACGACGATGTCACGATGGTACGTCGTAGTCGTATCTCTCTATACGATCTTTCTCCCAGCGATAACCCGGGTATGCTTCTAACTCAAGTTGTTCTGAAAGGGGATAATTACGATGAGTGGTCTAAATCTATGAGACTTGCTCTTCGTGCCCGAAAGAAGTTCGGATTCGTTGACGGATCTATACCGGTTACCTGTACCGACTTCTGATGATGTGGATGATTGGTGGACGAACCATTCATTGTTGGTATCCTGGATACGTAACACAATTGAACCAACGTTGCGTTCCACGATCTCTCATGTTGAACTTGCATCTACTCTTTGGGATGATTTGAAGGCTCGTTTTTCTGTAATTAATGGGCCACGGGTTCAACAACTTAAGCGCGAGTTGACGGAGGTCAAACAGAGGGGTCTCACCATAATGGCCTACTATGGTAAAATGAAGAAATTGTGGGACGATCTTGTTGATGTGGATTGTTATCCTACTTGTGTGTGCAAAAAATGCACTTGCCAAATTGACGCTCCTTTAGACAAAATACAAACGGAGCATGTGTCTACGACACAACAGTTGGCTGATATCCATACAAAGGCGTTGGGCAAGACACGCATGGAGTCTCTTATTCCCAAGTTGGGCATCTCTCTGTTACATGCTCCAACTTGAGGGGGGGTGTTAAGGAAAGAAATCACAGAAATCACATTATGGGAAAGAAATCACAGAAATCACAAGAAATCACATATTTCTTCTAGCAAATATTTTCTCTTGTAATCTTGATTTCATTATTATTATTCTTATTGATTCTATTTCCTTTCTCTGTACCTTATAGTTTGTATATATAGGGGTGTACATCTTCTGTAATGAACAACAGAGAATAATAGACAGTTCATACTTTTCTTTACATAATCATATCCACTAACCCAATCATTTAACAATCATTTATCAAACACCCCATTAGTAAAAAGTAACACGCCTTATATTAATTTATGATATTAATATTAAAAATTATGAAATGAAATGAAACTTTGGTCATGTTTAGTAACATAGTTGGTTTATCAGCTAATTTTAGTTTATTTGACCGCAAGTCAAATAGTCAATATAGATGTTTGATTTCGAACCTATGCAATTCATTACATGCAGAATATAAATGTTTGATTAATTAGCTTTTTGTAACAACTTATTGCTCCAAAACACTAAGGGGGTGTTTGGTAAATAGTTGTTAGCTGATTGAGTTAGTGAGTTTGGCTAGTTGATAACATTAGCTGATTGTAGAAAGATGTTTGGTAAATTAGTTGTTAGCTAATAGCTGATTACATGCAGAATGACTTTATCAGAAAGCTTATCGAAAAAAAGCTACTTTGATGAGCTTTTTGAATTTTAGTGTTTTGAAGTAATAAGTTGTTGCAAAAAGCTAATTAATCAAACACTTATATTGGCTGTTTAACCAACTCAAATGGTTAATAGTGGTAAAATAAGTCAAAATTGTCTGATAAGCTAACTATGTTACCAAACATGGCCTAAAATTCAAAAAGATACTCAAAACATTTCTTTTCAATAAACTTTTCAAGAAATTCATTTTGCATGTAATTAGCTACCAGCTAATTTACCAAATATATTTCTATAATCAGCTAATGTTATCAAATCAACCAGTCAAACTCACTAACCCAATCAGTTAACAGTTATTTATCTCACACTCCTAGACTTTTTTGCACATCATAATTGAAAAAAAAAAGTAGATTTTTTTTACAAATAACAATAATTCAATAATATATTGTAAAACTATGATGCTAATAGTACAGAGTACAACTAAATTGATACTCCGTATATTTATTGTATCGAGTATTATTTACCGGATAAAAATCTAAAAACGGTTTAAAAATAAAATTATTAAAAAAAAAAAAACCGTAGGGTATAGTGTTCCCAACATTATGGCACTTCTTTATAGGAGTGGATACGAAATTGGTTTTCACATGGTGGGACAGCCTATCATTTAGTGCCTTTTATCTTTTAGATTTTAGATGTTGCATGTCACAATTCACATTTTGTCAACACGACAACGTAATCTAAGGTATCTTTAATTCTCATTTATTCATTTATTGACTCCGGCTGTCTCAGGGTATACGATGTAGGTAATCTACAATTACCATACTAATCTCTAGGTAATCCAACTCAAACCACCATTTAAATACTCATCTCTATCTCTATATATATTAAAAGAGTTTTTTCCACTTTTTGTCATATGACTTTAGTGTCTCTGTCAACTTAGGTTCACAACTTTCATTCCTGACATATGTAGTGCGTGACTTTGAATGTTTTTCCACTTTTAGTCCTTCTGGTCATCTGAGCACTACTTTTAATCGGAATCACTAAATTATCTTTTATATTTAGATTTAAGAGGGGTAAATAAGTCTTTTACCATCACTTAAATAATAAACAAAAAAATTAAAACTATTTAATTATCTTCTTCTTCCCGTATTTCATCTCCCTCTCTTACTGTAAGCACACATGTGAACAAAACCTCTACAAAATATTCTTCTCAATCAGCCAGGCTTGGACAAATTCAAGGAAGAACAAGTATAATATTGGTGTATTGGGGGTTATTGGTTAGTGCATATTTTATTGTCATGAAAAGATTGTTGGAAGCTCCATGACTGCACCTTGATCCTCTCCTCCTTCTTCTTCAACCTGCACTGCACTTTCATCCAACAACCATTTCTCAAGAAACGTTAATGGAGGAGGGTTATCATTATCATTACTTTCCTACACGTTCTGCTTATTATTCCCACTGCAACTCTCACTCTCCATTCCATTCATCAAGCTCCCAAACATCAGAATAGAATCCAAATACTCCTCCTTCGAGATCGCCCCATTGTTGTCGTTGCTCCCCGCTAATCCGCCGCCTCCGGGCTGTTCTGGTCTTCCTCCTCCTCCCGGCCGCCGCCATGGGAGGTCGTCGCCGTCAACCCCTTGGACGAAGAAGACGAGGATGAAGCTCTCATCCACCCCTCCAGTAGCCTGGAAATGTTCTTAGCGCTCGAGGCATAGAGAGGAGATGATGAAGTGGCAATCTGTGGCCTGTCAGTGAAGCTATTCTTGGAGACAAGATGATGGTGACTTATTTACCCCTCTTAAATTTAAATATAAAAGACAATTTATTGATTCTGATTAAAAGTAATCGTTTAGATTGCCAAAAGGACTAAAAGTGAAAAAAATATCAAAGTCAAGCACTACTTATGTCAGGAATTAAACTTGTGAACTTAAATTGACGGAGACACTAAAGTCATAGGACCAAAAGTGGAAAAAACTCTATATTAAAATAAAATGATTAGGAAAAAATTTTTCCCTTCAAAGTGTAAGAACATTTATTGTATTCACATTACTTTATAAATTCATATAATTTTAATTACAAATCAAATAAACATCAACATAATTATTAAATTAATCAACATAACATGTCTATATCATTAATTTATAAAATATTACATATATTATATATTACATTATATATTATACCTCTATCTCTTCTCTTCTCTATTTCTATATTTCTATCTCTATCTATCTCTATATTATTATTATTATTATTATTATTATTATTATTATTATTATTATTAAAGCCAAATGATTAGGGAAAAATTTTCTCTAATCATAATTATCATAAATAATTAAAGAATTAATTCCAGCATTGGTCCTCTGACTATTGTGATTTTCTAAAATTGGTCCTTGTCTTTTAATTTGAACAAAATAAACCCTTGACTATCAGATTTGTTCCAACAATGGTCCTTCCGTTAAGTAGGAGTTTGGTTGGCGTTAAGTAGTGGGGTATTTAAGTCATTTTTTATTGCTTTCTTCTTCCTCGTAGTATATG